AGGTTTTTCCTGTGCTTTTTAGCCTTTCCTTTAGGATAAAATAAAAAGTCGGTGGCGACTCTTGCTAAACCGAACAAGTGCGAATACAAACGCAAAACCTCAAGTCTGTTCTCCCACCGTATCACAATATGTCAATGTTAGTGTTAATGAGGAATCAACCAAGTCGAGACAATTTAGCGCTATGTTAAGCAATCGTAAGAAGTCACACATATATGAGGCCGATCAATAACAATTTAAAATGCTGCTCAACTCTATTTCAAATATTCATTTGTAAAGTTTTGTAAACGCAAGGAACATTTGTTCGATAATTTGCAAGCAAGGAGCTTTGTTTATTAACTTTCTTTTAACATTGTTGTGTTATTTCATTGTATTCAAATTTGTATAATCTGCTTTCAAGAAGCAACTCGTAAACACATTTTTTGTATTTCAACTCCTAAGTTGATAGTTCCTTGAGAGACTAGGGCTTTAGTCAGGATTCTCAAGAAGACATTGATATATAGTCTTTGTGATTTACAATATTGACAGTTGGTCTTTGTTGGGTCTGTAATCAGTTTGGTTATAGTGGATTAAGTCCTTATTTGAGAAGGAAAAATCATCTTGGCAGGTGGACTGAATTAACTTTGTTAACAGTGAACCAGGATAAAAATATTCGTGTCATTTATTTTTGTTCTTGTGTTCTTTGTTTTGTCTTGGGACAAATTTGTTTTAAATCCTGAAACTCAATTCAAACTCTCATTTCTTGTATTTCTCACACCTTCAAATATATCATCTTATTGCATCAAGAGACACAATTTGGGTCATTTACTATTTAACTATCATCCACTGCAATTATATGAAGAATGACATTCTTCATATCCTCTAGTCAAAGATATTTAAATAGGAACAACTGTCATGCCCTAAATTTTTTTCTAAGTATTTTGGTCATTTCATTCATGTCATCCATCATTGTTATAGATCACCTTTTTATCATGAATAAAAGTTAAGTCAATGTTAGGCCAAATTAGAAGTTAACATGATTTTCCAAAAGTGAAAAGAGTTTGTGATAGATGACCATATGTAATGACATCTTTTGATCAAGTGTCAATTCTATGACTTCTTATGGACTAATTACCAACATATTTTACAATAAAAATAAGCTACAACCAAATTTTGAATTAAGGTTTAGATTTGATTCTTTAATGGCCATGGTTTATCATTGTCATCAGCATTCACTCAATTTTACTCAAAAGCAATAAGTAATTAAAATCCTTTTGAACTAAGTGTTATTCATTACAAATTTAAAATTAGTCTTAATCTTATAAGTTTGCATTGGTTATTAGTTTATTTCAATTCAAACCAATTTGATTTAGAAATAATTTTTTTATTATAAGTTGCATATAAGTCCACTTTGCTTTCATTGTTCTCATCTAAAATTCAAAAATAATGGAGACCCAACTTCAAACAATAATTTTGTTATGGTAAGCTTACATACTAACTATCCATTTTTTTTCCAGTATTATCAAACAATACAACTACAAAAAGAGCATTGTGATTTTGATTTACTTGTTGTTGAAATTCCACTTTGTCTTAGGCATCATATGGTTTGAGATTTCATCACCACAACTAAATTCAGATAAAAGAAAAAAGTTAATTTGTGTTCTGAAGAAGATTTAGGTAGGGTTTATGTTGGTGATCTTGGGTTTTGAAAAGTTCTTAGTATTATGGTTTCTCGTGTTTAGGATTGTTTCGATCTACTATTTGCATTTTGTTTTTGAAAAATTTAAAGTTGAAAACATGTTTAGATGTTGATTTTATGGTGAGTTTGTGTTTGAGTTGAGTGGATTTAGTGTAATTTAGGGGGTTTTCTAGAAAAGGGTTGAACAAAGAAGATGGATCTGCATCGTGTTTATGATGAATACAGTGAAGGTGTGGCAGTTTTTGGGTAAACTTGGGCGGAGCTAGGGCGGTCAAGGGTGATGGAAATGAGAGGTTTTCAAGAGGAGTCTGAGAGAGTTTGGGGGAAGAAAGAGAAAAAAAGAGACAGATGTCTCACAGATCGTTGGAACATTTGGCATGACATTTGTCCACTTAACAAAATTCTGAATCTTGAACAATTTAAATAAAATATTTACTTGATATAAAACATAAATCAAACTTCTCAAGTGAAGGATTCATAATAAATCTCTTGCCAAAAAATGAATCACGCTTTAAATCATCTTTAATAAAGATGGGATATTTTTTCATTAAGTGTAAATCCACGTCTTGCAATTAAAATATATCTTATCAAATCTCTTCATTGAATGAATCTTCATTCAATATCTTTGCATATCCACTAAACCAAATCTAAAATAAATCTTCCTTCAAGACATATTGAATTAAATCTTTTCTTTAAATCCAATCAAATCAAATCTTTTTCTTCAATGCAAATTCTTTTAATTAAACCATATCTTATTAACTGATTTGGATTAACAAACTTCATAGAAACAAACACAATCACACTCAGATTTACTCATGAAATCTTGCTAACAGATTGATGCCAGATGTTGCACCTCATGTTAGAACATCTTATCTCACATGATTCCTCTTCACATATTGCATCTTGCTGCCCATGTTGTTTTACCTAAAACAGCCAATCAAAGAAACAACAGACATAATAAACCTCAACAACATACCTGGCTAAAAGGAAGGAGAATCGTGAGGTAGAAGGTCAATCTAAAAGAGGGGAGAGACAATATTTGACTATGTACAAAGATAACTCCAAGTAAATCAAAGTGAAGACCATGAGACGAAATCGATAAATTTATGGGAAACTTATCACGTGTTAATAGCTCGGACTGAAAAAAAGGACATCGATATAAAGGCAATAACCATGTAAACTTAAGTGCACTTAAGCAATCTAAAAATTGCGTTGCATCCTAGGTGGTCACATCACCGCACATGTCATGAATGGGTTATGAAGCATCTCAATGATAGAACCACACTAAATACACGTGTCTCTTATTACTTTTCAAAACTAATCCCAAGCGATTTAGTTCTACTTCACACTAGATTACGATGTGGAGGCCGATTAATGGCACTTAAGGCTTATCTCGACTCCTTCCTCGCCCGACAAAGCCTTTTGGAAAACTGTTCTAGATCGACCAAAGATCCAAATGACTGAGGCCCAATTCATCACATGCCCGCTCTAATTGATCCAATATATAAAATAGTTCATGTGCGATGATAAAGTACATAATCTTTGATCTCCAATTTCACATTACTCTTCTTGAACATTGAAAAAACTTGGTTGTTGGAAGGCTAACCATGCATGTCATTCCATGCCTTCATAAAGGAGATCATAACCACCGTTCAAGACCGTTATCGTCAACTTCTTATCATTTATGGTTCCTTCGAGAGTTAAACCTTCATTTCTGATTTTCGAACGGAACACTTTTCATGTAGTTTATACTTCTTTGATATCATTTTCTGAGAATACTTTCTGCAACTCCTTCTTCATATCGATATCAATTTTGTTCCTAACCACTTCAAATACATAGTTCTAGCTTTGATTTTTATCTGAAGAATATATATTATTGAAATAAGATAGGAACAATTTGATTATATCACTCTCTTCTTTGTACTATGTATCAACACTTCTCTTAATTGAATGAATATACTCCCTTCCCACTTCTCGTTTTAGAAGAATTTTTTTATTTCTATTTAAGTGTCGTTTTTATAATTTAATGTTATCATTTGTCAATTATATCTCTACTTTCTCAATAACTCCACTTCCCACTTTCCATAAAATTAATTATTTTCTCAATTAATTATTGAAGAAAAAAAAGAGATGGTATATAATTGAATTTATTTGAAAAGAGAAAATAAATGAAGATATAATAGAAAAAATAACTCTAATAATCCACTATCTTGATTGAAGAACTTTATACTAAAATGACACTTCAAAAGAAACAGAATTTTTTTACTTCCTTTAACTGTCTTTTAATGAAATTTTTTAATATTTTTATCATTTTTTTTTAAATCATTCACTCTTAACTCGTATATTGATGCTCCTATTCAAAATAGAGAGACACCAATTGTATTTATTAAAGTGTTTATTCCGTAATTTTTTATAGTTTGAAATATGAATATATTAAAAAAAATATGGTAGAAATTTGATTATTTCGAAATTAAATTTAGGGAATCGGTTATTTTGGTAAAAAAGTTCACAGCTATTAATTATTAAAAAAATATTTTCTAATGTTATTTAATCAATTATATTAGCATTTCATATGCCTAACAAGTGATAAAAAATTACATAGTCGCAGATATAAACATGCTCCTATAAAATTTGTAACGAAACGAACATGTGGCGATATTATCCCATTTTCCATATAAATAAAATAACAAATATTTCATATAAATATATAAAAAGTTGAATCAGCCGACATAGGCTCACACGCCAGTTCAACGATACTATCTATTACAACCAATTCATAAGCCTCCACGTGGTCTTAAAATATCTACTTCAATAATAAATGGAACAAAACAAAACATTAACTATAAACTTTTTATGGCCGACATAACTAATTTCAAATTAAATTAAAATTAATACTACATTTTTTGTGTTTGGTGTCTCTTCGATTAGTTTTTTTTTTCCACAACCTATCCAGTTTAAAGTCAATTTGAATATTAAATGATCACAGTTGTGGAAATTGAATTATAGTTTTTTTTATTAAATTTAATGTGAATTACCACTGAATCAATTAATGATAAGTAATTTTATAATTTAATAATTTAATTATTTTTTATTAAACATAATTTAAGTTAGAATCCGTGTTTAATTAATTTAAGAATTAAAAAAAATCGTTTTCAATGAGTCAATGAAATTGGCATAAATAACAACGGAATGAATCAGTTTTATACAGATCATAGTGCGCACATGAGAGCACTAAATTTCTGGGTCCTCTCTTGCTAGATAATTTTCATAATTGTTTATTTATTTTCTTCTTTCTTCTAACTTGTGATCACAAATTAGGAAGAAAATGTGGAACAGGATGAATTTTCAAGATGAGGCAGTTCAGTTGATCAACTCAGATTTCAGAGACTTGGGTGATGCTGCTCATAAACTCGCTGATCATGTTCTTAAACTCGGTGGTTTGGGATTTGGAGCTTCTTTCTTTGGTTTCTTTGCTGCTGTTGCTGCTATGTATGTTCCCTTTTACTTTATTTATGGGTGTTCTTGAATTTTGTTATATGGATTGTGTGATTTGCTTGTCAAACGTTGTTGTTTGTGATTGTTTCTCTAAAGTTTATGTCTCTCTATGCTGTTGTTTCGATATGTGATTTTTGAATATTTGTTTATGCTTCTAGACCATCCTTAATTTCACTGGGATTTTTTGGTCTATTTGTGGTCATAACTTATTTTCAGCTTATTTTGGTACTCTCCAAATCAATTTTTTATATATTTGTATAGGTTATTCGAAAATAGCTTATAAGAAATACTTCTATGAAGAGCATACACTTTAGGAATGAAACACTTCTATGACATCCGTTAGAAAAGTAGGTGTCTAACTAGTGTTAGGGTCCATCACTCGTATGACATTTCTACGTGCGAGATAAGTCAATGTGTTAAGATCAGACGCTTATATGATATTTCTATTATACGTGTTAGAAATAGTCACGTGTCTAACATATGTCAGTGTGACACTCGTATGATACTTCTACGATATGTGGCAAAAAAGTCACGGGTCTAACATGTGTTAGTCCGACACTCTTACAACACTTATATCAATTCTATGAGACTTATACACATGTTGAAAAAGTCAGACAAATATCACAAAAGTCAGACAACTTTCCTTAAGAAATAGTAATAGTAATTTTTTTCTTTCGTATAAACTTTAAATGGAAGATAGATATTTAGATCCATTTCTAGGCAAGATAATATTAAGGCTAGGGTAGGAGCCCCACCAATTCTCGTGACGAAGTCGGTAGTTATCATTTTGTCTTTTTAGTGGTTAGTCTTGAATTGTTGTCTCTATTTTTATCCACAAAAAGAATAAGAGTTTGTCATTGTAAAGTAAGGTAGACCAGACCTACTATTCAAGTGCCAGCACATATTCAAAACAGAAATTTATCACCATGTTTTTATTCTTCTTGTGTAAGAGTGAATGAAAACAAATTAAAATAAAACAAAGTTTCAGTTTTGTAATCAAAACTAAATAAATACACCAACATTAAATGATATTTTAATTTTGTTAATCAATGTCAAAGCTTCACCATGTTTTGTTGAGTAAGAATGAATGAAAACTATAGATAGAGAGTCTTTGTTTCTGTATGACTTCACTAATTATGTTAATATGTTCTCTGCAGTTATTTGTTGGTTTTGGATCGCACAAACTGGAAGACCAACATTCTTACATCACTACTCATTCCATACATTTTCTTCAGTTTGCCGCAACTAGTTTTCGGTGCTTTCAGGTGATTCATTTCCCTCCCTGTCTGTCACACTTTCCTGTTATCAAATTCGTACCTTCCTTTGTCTAATATTATTTTCATCACTTCGCAGAGGAGAGATTGGAAAATGGATTGCTTTAGTTACTGTTGTGTTAAAGCTTTTTATTCCAAAACATTACCCTGGTATGTTACAATTTTGCTTATAAGTTATGATCCTTTTCACCATAACTGACAGTGTCTGTGAAATATTGAATTTACATAATAATAACAAACTCTTCATGATTGATTGTTACTGCAGAATGGTTGGCTTTACCAGATGCTTTGGTACTTCTGGCTGTTGTAGCTCCAAATCTAGTTGCAATCACTTTTAGAGAAAACATTGTGGGAGTGATTGTGTGTCTTGTCATTGCATGTTATTTGCTACAGGAACATATTCGTGCGTCTGGTGGTTTCAGAAACTCCTTCACTAGAGCAAATGGCGTGTCGAATTCCATTGGCATCATCCTTCTGTTAGTTTACCCCATCTGGGCGCTTCTCGTTATAATTTTTTAGGTACCTGCGTTTGAATTTGATTGTTAAGTTCGAGTCTGTTGTGTTCTGTAGTCATTCATTTGTCGGATGTTGATGTCAAATACTCTGCCATTGTTTGACGTAATGTATCACCTTTGTTGTTTCGTTTGCATGTTTAAAATATGAAATCAAGTTTCTTTTGAGACACTTTTTGGCTTCATTGTAGAAATAAGAATGAAGAATGTTATATTTTATAATATGAAATTCAGTCTCTGAGACAATTTTTGGCTTCATTGTAGAAACAAGAATGATCAAGGGATCGATATAGTAGTAATATGTCTTAAGTTTTCGGACACCTTGCAGTGATTGATATAGTAGTAACATTAACATTAAAGTCCTCTTAACTTTTCTAAGGACATCCTCTTAAGTTTTCTGACGTAGTTAATAAATTTATCATGGTTTAATTGTGGAAAAACAAATAAGGGCTCTATTTTGTCACAATAAATATTTTATGATATCCTTTTTAGACGAGGCATAATCGTGACAAATTTTAGACAATCTTTAGTAGTCCGTCTTATACAGCATTCACAAATTATCTAAGATTTGAGTGGATCATTGGTAACTTTAATAACTTTTTCTCTATCTATCTGAATCTACCATTCTCTCTGAAATAATAAATAGTCACCATGAGTTAGAAAATTACTTCACATAAACAAGTAGGAGTAATAACACTTGTTGCAAGTTACACAAAATATGTAACTTTTTGAATTTTTCAGATAATCTTGTGATATAATCTTTTAAGAATGGCTGAATGAGCATATTATTGTTGGTTAAAAATTTTCGACTAAGACATAGATGAAGTTGTAAGAGTTTTTGAAGTGAGAGAGAAAATGTTAGTCGAATTTATAAGTGTCAAAATCTTCAAGAAAACGATTTGGGGACTTGACCAAATTTCTCATCAATTGATCTAAGTTAGAGTCGAAGAAATAGACAGTTGAAAAGAACAGTTTTTTGCAATCGGTTGTCAAAGATGTCAGGGAAGTTATTAAAGAGCAGTTTGTATGGAAATGCTACATGACAAGCTGTGAGGAGTCGAAGTCATGTAACAATTATTTTTAAATTTCAATATAAACAGGATTTACATTCAGTTTTGGGAGTCAAGGGTCGCATTGTGTAACATTGCAAGGGAAAATTCAAAGTAAAATATGAATGTTGCATTCAACCATGAGTATGAGTATTGCATTTGGTACATTCAGTCAGAGAGAAACGAGTGACTTCTAGAAATGTATAGTATTGTATTTTATTTTTTCAATTGTCTTTATTTTTGCCCCTTTTATATGCATTTTCTCAACTTTTATTCAATTTTACATTCAATCCAAATACTAAGACCATTTTTAACTTTACACTTTGTTCTATGATTTTGTAGTCAATTCTACAAGTAAACTTTAATAAGAGGTTAGAGATTGTTTACCAGAACCATGTGTAAACAATTATTCAGTTCCTATTTCAATAGATTAAATGTTTTGTTTAAAGCTTTTTCACTTCACATAATACAGGTTGAAATGCATTCTGAAAGACAACCAGAAATCGATATAATTTCAAATAGAATTCCTTACACCTGCCTCACACCATTGCTCCCTATGCTTCCTTGTATAGTTGATCAATACAATCCTGAAATTGTTTGCAAGAAGTAACGTTTTACTTACTTAGCTAGTAACAGAAGAAATGCATATTTTGGTTTAAAAAATTGTGAACCATGAGACAAACCTTATAGTGCTTTAGTAATTGTGGTCTCTTCAATTTGAATGTTGGAGTTACCAGATCTCTCTCCACATCAAAGGGAATTGGCTCCAGAAAAACTGCTTTTATCAACTCAAAGCCTCTAAACTGAGAGAATATCAATCATGTGAAATGTCATCACTAATCAATAAGATCACAAAAATGTAGCGCAACGTAACGCCCGAAATTACGCATATGGTTGACATTATATAATACATACTTGATGTTTCTGACCAATGCTGTTGAGTTCATCCAAAATGAATTTTCTTGCCTTTAGATTTCCACATAATGATTTAAAATCATCAGACAAATCATGCTTCACTGCCCAATTCTCAAGGGCTTGTCTTTCAGGAACAACAACAGCCACCAAGAAAGATTCAAAACTATTTCCGTAGACCCAAATCTACGCGCGAAATAAAAAAAAATTTATACATTAATGGAATTGCATGAGTTCTAGTTAAGTCAATTTTTTCTAGGATTAATAGAGAAGAATTATACCGAAGTTATAAGAGGGCACTGCAAATACTTGTTTTCGATATTCTCGACAGCAACATATTCTCCTTGAGACAATTTGAAAATATTCTTTTTTCTGTCAATAATTTTCATGGCTCCATTTGGAAGCCATTCTCCAATGTCACCTGTATTTATTTTTCAAAGCATTTCGAAACACGCTGCATTTAGAGCCATACTGCCAACTTTAACGCCAGAATGCAGAAATATAGAAGTTTGTGACGGACTTACCTGTATGAAACCAACCATCAACAATAACCTCTTCCGTAAGATCTTGACGCTTGTGGTAACCCGAGAACAAGGTATTCCCTCTCAGGCAAATTTCTCCGCGGGGTTGACTGGAAAGTGCATCATAACCCATCTCAGGCACGGACTCAAGCCTGGCTTCAATCGTTGGCATGGGGACTCCGACAGTTCCCACCATAGAAAACACATTGGATATTGAAGTGAAACACCCCGCGCAGCTTTCAGTTAGACCTGTAACATCAAAATGATAATAATGAATTGCTATGCAACCACTTCGATGAACTACTTATAAACAATCCACCAATTTATAATCAAAGATTCAATCAAACACTATAGTGTACCATATCCTTGTGCCAAGGTAGATCCAAAACTGACCCTTAGAAACTCTTCAACATGCTTAGACAAAGGAGCAGCTCCGGATAACAAGATTCGAACTCGTCCACCCAATGCTTGTTTTATCTATCAAAATAAAACCAATGTTTCAAGTTTGAAACAAAACTTTCTGAAATAAAATCATAGTACAAAATGGAATAATACCTTGTCAAATACAAGCCTATCAAACCAAGGTGCTGCTTTGTCTTGTGGAAGACCACTATTTAGATATCCCAATTTGCTGTTAATTGTGTTTAGATTAGCATACAATAGGATAGAAATCGGAAACTAGAAAAGTAGAATTCCGGAACGGTAGAAAGTTTGGTGGTTAAACATACTAGTTATATGCATACTGAAACAATGTCTTTTTCAGTGATCCTTCCGATGAAATTTTGCTATTGATACCTTCAAGTGCAAGTTACGCTTATAATTCATTTTCAAATGACAGTGTAGTCACACAATCACATTTAGGATATATAACAAGATTATAGCACCAGACAGCAGCACAATAAATATTCTCGCCTTACCAGCGTAAACACGGTCATAAACTCGAGGAACACCACAAAATATAGTTGGCTTCAGTGTCTGAATATCTTCCATTAAGAATCTGATATCCTACAAGAATCAACATGAAAAATTCCATGAAGAAAATATTTTGAGAATAAGCCAGATATTACTAATAAGAACAAAAAGCAAATTCGAAGCTTACGCCTTGCCAAAAACCAATTGATGAGCCCTTGTGGATGCAATAAGTCACCATTATCTGGTCATATACATGAGCAAGAGGAAGAAAAGAGAAGTACACGTCGTCTTCCGCTGCCTATAAATAGTACATAGATGTGTTTGTATCAACATTGAGAATGACATGTTAGATGTATCGAGAAAAACAAATGAAATAACTAATGAAGGGCTTATAAAAGTGTTATTACACGAAACATGAAACAAGCGAATCATAAAGAAAACGAATTATCTTACGCCTTTGTCTGTTATCGAAAGTAGTTGGTCAATGGACAGCACTTGAGTCATGAAAGCCTCATTCTTAATAATGACACCTTTTGGTTCACCTGTTGTTCCACTTGTGTACATGATTGTGCAGATGTTAGTCTTATTTTTTAACGTTAGATCCAAATCGAGATTTCCCTGCAGAAATAAAGATATACAATCAAATTATATCGAAAGAGAAAATTTTCCTATTTGATCTCAATGGTTCACGTTGTTAGTTATAAATCTTAACATCAGTAAGCAACTGAAAATCATAGTTCCTACCGACTGAAGAAACTCTCCCCAAGTGAAGCAGGATACACCAAGTTCCTCAGCTTCTTTCTTTTGTGTGATGGAAACATTATCAAAACTCACAATAGCTAAACCATAAAATTACAGAAGTTTATCGGTTAGATGGAAAGACTTTTAAAATTAATATTAACAGAAATAACAGAAAGGTTTGATTACACATACTTTTAAGACTTGTACACCGATCAAGACATGACAAAACCTGTGCCAACAAAAAATGATAAGCTAATTATCAGCAGAAAACAATAAGGAAGAGCCAGAGAGTAAAAGATTGTGCTCCAAGAAATAGAACGGAACCTACGGAAGGAATCTTGCTTTGCTGTACAAATGCTAGCGAAACTTCAGCATGGTTAATGATAAACTCCACAGCATTAGGACCTGTTTATGCATAATTACGAAACGTTTATCAAACTTTAATTTCCTAAATTCAATAAATAATAAAAGCAAGTTTATCGAGATTTATAGTGAAAGGTACAAAAACACAAACCAAGAGTGTCGTATAATGGGACATATGTTACTGCATAGCTGTTACAAGCCTGGAAACACCAAATTCGAACCAAGTCATTAAAGTACTAATGCAGTAATTTATAAGGCTAATCATATCAAGATCATATTATAACATGTTTAACTTACTAAATACTAGTTAAGTAATTGTAATTTCCCCTACAAAGATAAAGTGTTATACCTCCATTGCAATTATCCATTCGGGACAGTTGGATCCATATATGCCACAACGGTCACCCTTGTGATACAAGAAAAAAGCTAGTTAGATTAATTACATATACTTTTGAATATTTGGTATAGTTTTGTTAATAGAATAAGAACAGTTACAGGATTGACACCGCGGCTCTTCATGGCGGAACCAATTCGGATGGCAGCATCATAAGCCTCTTCAAATGTGACCCATTCATAGGGACCAACCTGCAAATTCAATTGAATTCATACATAATTTTACTTAATTCAATACTACAAAACAAATGTAACATTAAATATAATATCGAGACCAGCATGATCCGAATGATTCTGTCCCTATGTATAAACAAACCATTTTGATGAAAAAAATGTGTCAACCATTAGTATTATTTTACAAAGTTTACCTTTACTAGTACTTATTTGACTAATTTTGGTTTCATTATTTAACTAAAACATCATTTATTCATTTTATCTTAGTTTTCTCCAACATTATTTTCTCATTTAGGTTAGTATTCTAAAGGCTAATTCAAGTAAGCTGAAAAAAGTCCAAGAAATGATGCAAAAGAAAGACATGAATGAAAATTACCTTTGAATCAATTTTTTGACGCCGACCCAGCATTGCTTTACTGGGGCACCTTGCAGCAGATTCCCTAAACAAAGAAACATCAAAACACATATTTTATCATCATAATATTAAAAGTCAAAATCTTGACAAGTGGCCCATTAGCTCAGTTGGTTAGAGCGTCGTGCTAATAACGCGAAGGTCGCAGGTTCGAGACCTGCATGGGCCAATTTTTTTTTTGAATTCCTTAACTTTTCTAGGGCAAATTTTGTGAACTAATGAGAAAGAAGTAGCAGTAATAATATTAATAGTGACCTGAAAAAGTCCCATGGAGATTGAAAATGAGAAGGTAAATCCAACAAAGCATCTTTAGCATAGATGCATCTGTAGACAGGACCTGCTGATGGCTTTTCATGAGTTGCAGATCTTGCTTCTTCCACCTTCACAGTGTATACATCCACCATTGTTGTGAGGTTTTGTGTTTTGTTACCTATTGTAGCTGAATTTAACAAGGGGATGGTGTTAGCAGAGTTGGTTGAGCAAGCATTAAATTTGAAAGTTATGTTTTGGAAATGAATTCAACTATATTTTTTAGATGTGTTTTATTTATTTATTAGCCTATTTTGTGCCGTTTGCTACTTTGCTTGTTTTGAGTAAGCATTTATTGTGGCTAAGAAAGTTTGGTGAAGCCTACTTTATGTACAATTGCAATTATATTCTCTGTATAGGTTTGGATACAATTATTTTCACCCTGATTACATTTTTCAATACAGTTTCACCATAATTTTTAAGAAGTTAGAAATTCTAGTTTCTCCTAGAAGCACCCTTTTTTTTTCATTTCACCGTGATTCCAAACAGATGCATAATCAGAAAAATAAAATTGATAGGTAGTATTTAAAATGAATGTAAGATGTAAATCTATATTTACAATTGCATTTTTCATTCGAGATTGACCAATTAAAATTTATGTTGTTTTATAAATGATTAATAAAATTGATAGGTAGTATTTAAAATGAATGTAAGATGTAAATCTATATTTACAATTGCATTTTTCATTCGAGATTGACCAATTAAAATTTATGTTGTTTTATAAATGATTAGGATTAGATGGATAATGATAAAATGGATTTTTTATTATATAAAAATAATTGTATCATTTCACAAGAATTAATACACCATCCAAGTTATTTTAACTGGATTTGATAATTTTTTACTTCATTCAAATAAATGTTGAGACAAAACGGCATTAAAGATTCACAAATTCAAAAAAGATTTGGAATTATTGAGTTAATTTTATACTTCGTTATTATTGAGTCAAAGATGATTTGGAAACCACATCATCGATTTCTCAAATTTATGAAAATTCTATTAAATAAGAGGAAAAAGAAGAATAATATATTCTTTATATCATATATTTCACTCTAACATATAACCAAATGGTCAAGCTAAGGACCTTAAATAAGTATTATGTGAAGGCAACCCACGATTTAGTAACATATTTTAATTTCAGTCAATTTTAAATTTTAGTATGTTTTTAGTGTTTTGGTATTTTTAATGTGTGTGTTGAATGTGTAAAAAATCTAAAGAGAAATAGATGCACTAATTGACTTCGTGACTTATGTCGCTCAGACGATAGTTTTTTATTTAGCAGTTTTAGTTGTATTTCTTTCTATTTTGTTATGTGTCTCATATGTAATCTACCGGAGAAGGGGAGCTCCAAAAAATTGCTCTACTCCAAATTTTGTATTGTTTAGGCCTTCTTGAATAATGATTTTGCTTGTGCATGTTTCTTTTTTAGTTTAGTTACTACCTTACCATTGAGTAGAAACACAGTCACATAAAAAAGTGAATAAAGTGATCGAGAATGATGTTTTCGAGCAGAGTAATGATTGATGAAGAAAAAGGATGTGGATGCATTTCTCTTAAAGATGTTTTGTATGATGTCAAAACTAGAAATTGATTTTAACTTTACTGTATATTGAACAGTATTTCTGAGTATTTGTGTGCACCCTTGCATTAGAAGTCATTAGGAACCTTAAGAAGCATATAGAACAAGTTTGATTTGGTTATCCATTGGTCTCGTAAAGGAAGATTCAGTTTTTGCACAAAATTTATGTGCATGTGTCGACACATACGAGTTTCGTGTCGGCACATGTGTTGTTGTTTTAAAGCATATAACACTCTAGAAGTATGTGTCGACTCATTCTTTTGTTCGCGTCGACACATGTCTTTAAACTACTCTATGTATCGACACATACGAGCTTCGTGTCGACTCATGTGTTGTTGATTTACCTAAAAATCTCT